TCAATAATAAATATATAGAAAGCTTATATCATACTGACACTTTTTCCCTACCTTTGCCAGCTCTCTGGTTGGGGCAGGTAGTCGTTGTTGGTAGACAATTGAGTGCAGCAATCTCCTTTTTCAGTTTTTCAAGACTCCCATGTATAGGATGCGAGTTGTCATCTATTTCTAAAAGGTGTAAATACCTATTAAAAAATATATACAAATATATATAAAAACAAATATGAATCACTCGCCATAGTACAATCTTTAAAGCTTTTTATTTTTATTTTTTAATTTATACCAATGTATGTGTGTATATATATATATATATATATATATATGGAAATGGCTTAAATGTGAGGATGCACCAGTCTGCCAGGGTGTCAAGAAGTGAACCGTGGCTGTATCTATATAGTAAGGATCCTGTTTTTCACACACCAGGGTCTCAGTGGGGGTGGGGGTTCATATGTTGATTAAAACTAAACAAACTGCTCACTGTTTACCACATAAGGACTCTGTTTTTCTCCATCCCTGTGGGGCTCTCAAGCTATTTAGGGTTTAGCACCGTTTGGGTGCTGAGTGACATTATGCGACCCTAAGTCGACACGCTTGTTCCTCGTTAAAAACTGTATGTTTTCCTGAGGGTTTTTCCTCTGTTAGGTTACAATGTGTGTCCTGTTGGCTAAGAAGAAGATAGCCCCCTAATTCATGCATTAAGCTGTTATTTTTGAATCTGAACAGAAGCGCCAGTGTCTCACTGGTTTGTGGAGGGGGCCTCTCATACCATTGAAGAGAATCAGAAGAAGACGTTTGGGGGTTGGCCCCGGCTGGTGTGCTGTGTCACATGATGCTGCACTAAGTCGACATATGTGTTCCTCGTTAAACCTTAAGATGTATGTTTTCCTGAGGGCTTTTCTCTGTTAGGTTACAAATTGTGTTCTATTGGCTAAGAAGATAGCCCCCTAGTTCATGCATTAAGCTGATATTGGTGAATCTGAATAGAAGCACCAATGTCTCACTGGTTTGTGGCGGGGCCTCTCATACCTTTGAATAGAAGACGAAGAAGACGCCACTGGGACCACACTGGGATAGGCCTCTGCTGTTTCACTAAGAATCCTGGAACGTGAACCAGTCCAAAAGGAAAGTTCGATCGAGGCGCCAAATAACACATCTATAAATATATGATGAAACCCCTCCTACAGTCCCGTGTTTTCTGTCAAAACTAACGCCCATCACATAAATCACCCACTGAAATGGCAAATTTCCAATCAAAACCACGCACATCATCGTCAAAAATGGTTTACGTTTCCATTCGTAAAATGATGCATTTCCGGGCATGACTTAAAAATGGCCCAAAAGTAGGGTATATATACTACTTATATATATATATATATATATACATGTGTATACATATACATATATTTTCTTACATTATTACATACTGTACATCTTTCCATCATGGGGGTGAGAAGTTCGGGAAGGAGGGGGGTGGGGAGTCTCGTCTTTGCAAGCAGCAAACTGTATCAAGCCCTGTCTCTCATTATTAAATAAGCTTTCAACAAGCAAATGAATAAACCAAGATATTAAACAAGCAAGAATGTTTCATACTGATTTAAAGGTGCCCAACTACATATATTTGTGTTAACAGAATTCAATGTACCACTCAGACTAAAAGGACGGTGATTAATGAGAATGGAATGAATCATGAGTAGTTCATGAACTTCAGTGTGAGCTGAAGGCCAAAACCCTTCTATACCAGCAAAGTCACGTGCTGTCCAAACAGTTTACAGACGATCAATCTGCTTTCTTCCCTGATGTCATTACCACGTTGTTTTGCTGATCAAGTTTCGCTTAAATTGAATTCTACTTTCTCATATGATGTAAACTGTTGAGGTTTACACCCTCTATCATTCAGTGTAAAATAAGATCACATTATGCTTTCATATGGATGAATCCTCTCCACCTGCCTTTCCCTTAGTTTTATTATTTGTTCCCATCCATCTCGTATGTGAGACAAACCAGGTCCTGCTGACCAGCTCCTGCTGTCCGGTGTGGGAGGGGTTTCTCACTACAGGAAGAGGTCATTCATTCATTAAGCGAAGCCCTCGTCGGTTGAAATCAGAGAATCACAGATCCGGTCTTGACCTACAGAAGAGACACACACTCGACACAAAGCTGCTCCAACACACACAAACAAACAAACACACACGGCTGCAGATATGATGCACCTGGCTTTTCTCCTCCTGATCATCTTCACAGGTAAGAATCTGTGCTGCGAGCATTCTTGATGGTGTTCATGTGTTTGACGTTTGACACTTGGACATTATTTCTGGTTGCGTTTGAGAACATGGAGCTTGTGTTTGTTGTTTTGTTGTTTGTTGTCACAGAGCAACGATGCAAAGCTCAAACCCAAAATGGTCAAAGTCAAAAGTCAAAGCCAAAACATCATTGGTTTGCCTGCCTTAAATTCTTTTATTGTTTTCATAATAGTGCTTCATTTAAAGGAAGAAGCCTTCCTCCTATCGGGGCATTTATGATCTGATAAATGTACAGAGAAGTCTATTCTGCTCCGTGTCAACCAGCTTTGAATATAATGGAAATATTTTTTTGTTTAATGCAAAAGAAGGAAAATCAAGGAAATAAAAGCTAATAATAACACCACTGCTTGATAATGTGGTGATTTTCTTATAAAACAATTTTTTTTATAAAACGTCTTTCTAAAAAACGTTTTAAACACAGATGGCTCGTCCTCCCAGAAGGTGTGTAGCTACCAGGATGTAGTGGAGTACCTGAACCTCACTGCAGACAACAGTGTGTTCAGAATGACCCGACCCGTTCTGGACCACAAACGCCCCACGGTGGTGCAGCTGGACATCATCCTCTTTGCCCTCCTGGCTGTGGTCGGTGCAGCGTTACCGTGTTTGTGTGTCATTCACCTGATTGATGATCGATTCAGTTGAGCTGTTTTGAAGTTTAGCAGTTTATTAACCCGTCTGTTTATCCCCAGATTGAGAAAACGCAAACCTTTGTTCCTTTTGTCTGGGTAATAATGGTGAGTTTGGATTTTTTAAATGGTGACTCTCCTGAACTTTCTTTTTTATTCATCATCAGCTGACTGTCATTTTTCTGTTAATTGACCTTTCATTTACTGCAGAAGTGGAACAATGAACGCATCTCATGGGACCCGGCTCACTTTTGTGGAATCACTCAGATTTCCATTCCTAAGGAAATGCTCTGGAAACCAGACCTCTTTATCTATGAAATGTGAGCCAGCAGCACACACAGACACACTGTGGTTTATTAAAAGATCTGTGCAAAACAAGCACCTACATTGTTCAGCAATTACAGCTGCTACCCCAATTGCGGCCTTTATGCTAAGCTAAGCTAAAACGCTGATGTTATACGGTATATATTTGGTAATCCTTTAAAGGTGAGAACTGCCACGGGTCATTTGAAATAAAAGAAATGAAAGGGAACCTAAAGGGAATCGGATTTGACGGACTGCTAAACAAATGTGTACCTGGAGAAGACAAAAGGCAAGCAAATGTTTGGTGGAGAATTGGAGGTTTCTCTTAAGAATTAAAAACACAGCCGC